GACCCAAACGCTATTGGTAAACTCGCGCCCTGGGCAACGGATCAACAAAACTTCCATGCCAGCCGGAAGACCCTGCCCCTCGCTCCTGCCCGAGCCGGAAGTCGGAAATCCCGTTTGGCCTGGACTTATTCTCGCGAGGTTTACTATCCGCCCGGCCTGCACTGCGGTGTTTCCCGCGCAGGCTACTCCAGTTCCCGGCGTACGGCGCGGCCATTCGTACCGCCGCCGGCGCCGCCGCCGTCATGGGTTNGAGATTGAGAACTTTAAGTCGTACAAGGGTAGACAGATTATCGGACCATTTCAGAGGTTCACCGCCATCATTGGACCCAATGGCTCTGGTGAGATAAACCCTGCTGCGGCCCTGCGTACGTCCCGCCCCGGACCCCTATCCGGTGTCATAGTACAACCCAGCCCGTGCTACTTGAAATGTCGCGAACCGTAACAGGTTCCTTGCACTTCCCTAGGGGGTTCGGCCCAAACCCGCTTTCCCCGCTCGGGTGCTGTGACTTGAACCTCTTCCCCTGGTGTCAGTTGCCCGCTCTTTGCGCGGCCCCCACTCCGGCCTGAGTGGTACGCTCCGGACTGTACGTTCCCCCTTCCTCTGCCCCCTCCCGCCAAAAGTGACGGTCCCAAGTCCGCTGCCAGCTAGACTCCCCTTCTTGTATGCACCCTCTGGAAGATGGGCAGCTGGTAGCCCTTTCGTGGCTTTCGGTCCCAAACGGTACATTTAATCCGTTCCGCTTCACATTGGTACGCTCCAATTTCGGTCTTTTTTTTTGTTTTGTTTTTACTCTCCTTTGGAGGCGGGCAATTTTGAATTTGAGACCCAGCGCTCGCGTCTCCAGAGTGCTTGGGGTCTTGGCCCTCCATCCCTGTCCACTCCCCCCATCTCAGAGGCGGGGATGCCTCGAACTCGCCCCTCTGTTAGCTCTGAAGCCGCTAAAAAATCAGAACTTATTCGCTTACTAAATTAACTGGGTGTTTACAGTTTTATAAGGAGCTATTCAAGGTGCTGTGGGAACAGCTGAGAATAGAATAAGCCTTGCTCCTGGGGAATTTACATAATAAAGAAAGAGAAAATAAGATCATTTTCAGCTGTGAAAAGTGCTTTGCCAGAAATGAGTCAGGTTGATGTGATAGAGTGACCTGGGTGGTGTCAGTAGTTAATAGAGTGGTCAGTAGTTAATAGTACTGTATTGTATATTTTAAAATTGCTAAGAGAGATCTTAAAAGTTCTCACAACAAAAAAAATTGTGATTATGTGAGGTGATGAATGTTAACTAAATTTATTGTGGTGCAGTATATACAGATACAGGATCATTATGTTGTACACGCGAAACTAATATAATGTTATGTCAGTTATATTTCAATAAAACGTGGGGGGGGAGGTTGGTCATGTCAGGCCTCTATTTCATATCTTAACTCTTGATCTCTAAATGATACACCATGGGTTCCATCGGCCTACCCCTTCAAGGGTTTGTTGGGGATCCTGCTGTGCTCCTCCACCCTTGAGTTCTAGCAAAATCATTTACTAGCCTGAGGTGGCTGCCTTTGTTGAAGTAGCTCAAACTGACGACCTCCCTTGGAGTCTCTTGCCTGTGTTTGGCTCTCAATGGAGATATGGGTTTCTCAACAGTGGCTATTGACATTTCCAGCGTGGTAATTCTTTGCTGTGAGGTTGGTCCTGTGCATTGTAGGATGTTTAGTGGCATCTACTCCTTGGCTTCTACCTACAAGATGACAGTAGCGCCCCCTCACACCCCCCAAGTGTGACAACCAAAAATGTCTCCAGACTTTGCTAAATTGTCCCCTGGGGGTTGCAAAGTCACTCCTCCTCCCAACCTCTTTAAAACCACTGGCCTAGAGGGCTAATGCTTGGGGTTCCACTTCAGTGTCTTAGGATTTGGGTATGGTGGAAAGAGGCATTCAATCCCCTCAACATAGGTAGATTTGTATACCCAGCTGTTCCAAAAAAGCCCTTGGCCTAACTGCCCCTCTTACCCCCATTCTTCAGTGACCACCTCCACAAGGCATTCTTTGATTCCCTTCAGTGAATTGCTTTTCTCTGGCACACAGACACTTGGTACACATTAACGTTTATTTTCTTCTGTCTTGTATTCATGGTAGGTATGTTTTTGTATCTTCATCGCTGGTCTGTGTCTCAAAGAAGACATTTCTTAAAACGTTTTATCACTGCTCAGCTCATAATGCATATTATTAAAATGTTCATAATACTGAGTGATTTTGAGTAGGGAGGCCTTTGGTTGTAAGATGTTCTTACCGTCCTGGGAGAGCATAGGAGAAGCCCAAAGGGTTAAAAATGGTGCCTAAAAGGTTGACTCCTGGTCTGCTTGGTGTGCTAGTCCTGCTGTGATGAGGGGAGACATTGCCGAGTCAGACTTGTTGTTAGAATAGGACTGCCATTTATTGAGCACCTACTGTGTGTTGAGTACTTTGTTTATTGGGCCCCTTTACATTGCAATTCTCACAATGACCCTAGGAGAGAGATCCCATTATCTATGTTTTATATAGGAAGAGGCTGAGACACAGTTGTGATCACTTGCACACATTCCCAGAGCCAGATCAGAACCCGTACCTGTCCAAGCCTGTGCTCCTGCCACTCCAACAGAGAACTATGTGCCAAGCATTGTTTTACATGTTTTACTCATGAGTCATGATTTTTCACATTTTCCAGGTGAGGTCAGCTAAGAAGTAGGGGAAACTAAGATTACAACCTGATCTATGGGACTAGTACCCAAGCTCTTTTTTTTTTCTTTTTTTAAAAAATGTATCTTTATTGTTAAAAGTATTATAGATGTCCCCTTTTCCCCTCCATTGACCCCCTCCACCCTGTACCCACCCCAAAACATCTTTTTTTTTTAAACAGTTTATTGATTTTTTTTTTTAGAGAGAGAGAAAGGGGGGGAGGGAGAGAGAGAGAGAAAGAAACATGGATGTGAGAGTGTAACATCGATTGGCCACCTCCTGCATGCCCCATACTGGGGATTAAGCCTGCAACCCTGGTATGTGCCCTTGACGGGGAACTAGTGACCTGGTGCACAGGATGACACCCAATCCACTGAGCCTCACCTGCCCAGAAACCAAGCTCTTAATCTGTCTTGTACTGCTTCGATGGAAGGACCTGGGCTACCTTTGTTTTTTAAAAGATACGTTTTTATTTATTTTTAGAGAGAGAGGAAGGGATAGAGATAGAAACATTGATGAGAGAGAAACATCATCGATCGGCTGCCTCCTGTATGCCCCCTACTGGGGTTGCGCCGCAAACCCTGGTATGTGCCCTAACCGGGCATTGAACCCGTGACCTCTTGGTTCCTGGGTCGACGCTCAACCGCTTAGCCACACCAGCCGGGCCAGGCTGGGCTACCATTTTCATAGCTGGGTAGTAGATATGTGTTAGAAATGAGATCCTCAGTTCACAGTCACATAACATGTTTGGGGAGAATCTTGAGATACAATTTATAGAGATTAAACTGTTTCCCACCCCCTAACCGCAGTCTAAATTTTTTAAAATCTTTTTTCGGAGTCTAAAATGAAGAAAGTAAAAACTGTGACTTCTCTTCTGAAGAGATAACCACTCTTAATGTTAAAAATCGTACTTATTTATTTGAATAGCTAATAAATGCACATGGTATAAAATTCAAAAACTCCCAGAGATTATACAGTAAAATGAAGACTCCATTTCTTCCTGACCTGTTACCTACTTTCCTTTCTGAAAGTGACCACTCTTAAGCTGTTTACATTTTCATGTACTTTTTTCCTGTGCCTTTCCTTCTCTCCAGGTTTTTATTATGAAAATTTTCAGATATACATGTGTGCTTTGCTTGATCATTTGCAAGTAAATTGTAGACTTAATGACATTCACCTCTAAGGGATTCAGCATTCATCTCCTAAAACCATTCTCCTCTGTTACCGATATACCATTATCACACCTAAGAAAGTTAATTTCCTCATGTCATCAATCATCCAGTTCATATTCAGGCTTCCCTAATTGCTCCCAAAAATGTCTTTTGGGGTTTTGGGGGGGATCCAATCAGAGTTTGTGTACTGCCTTTGCTTATGTCTCAGTAATCTCTGGTGTTCTGGAATGGTTCTCCTAACCTGTTTTGACATTGACTTTTTGAAAATCCCAGGCGAATTGTCTTGTAGAACATCCCACATTCCATTTGTCTTAAGGTTTCCTCATGGTGACATATAACATGTTCCTCTAACTGCTGTATTTCCTGTCAACCTGAAGGGAGGTCTAAAAAGTTGTTTAAATTCAGGTTAAATATTTTTGGCAAGATACTTCATAGATGATGTGTCCTTTATATTGTGTCACAATAGGAATATGCCTTTTTAAAAAAATTGGTAAAATACACAACAAAAAATTTATCATCATCACCACTTTCATTTTTATTTTATTATTTTTTTAAATCCTCCACCGAGGATATGTTTTTATTGATTTTAGAGACAGGAAGGGGGAGAGAAAGAATCATCGATGTGAGAAACATCAATCGGTTGCCTCCTATATGCTCCCTGACTGGGGATTGAACCCACAACCCTTCAATGCATGGGATGACACTCCAACCAACTGAGCCACACCAGCCAGGCATCATCATCACTTTTAAGTGTGCAGTTCAGTATTGTTAAGTATATTCACATTGCTGTGCAATTGATCTCCTGAACTTTTTCATCTTGCAAAACTGAAACACTGTCCATTAAACAACTCCCCGTTCCCCCTTCCTTCAGCCTTGTTTTTGTTTTTTAATAACTTGGTTGAGAGTAAACTATATTGGGTTTTGTATCTTGCTTGTTTTTCCTATTGTGGGCATTTTCCCATGTCATTAAAGGTTGTAGAACAGCCCTGGCCGGTGTGGCTCAGGTGGTGGGAGTGTTGGTTGGAGCGTCATCCCATGCATCAAGGGGTCACGGGTTCGATTTCGGGTCAGGGTATATGCCCCGCTTGTGGGCTTGTTCCCCAGTAGAGGGTATGCAGGAGGCAGCTGGTCAGTGTTTCTTTCTTTCTCCCTCTCCCTTTCTCTCTCTAAAATCAATTAAAAAACATTTAAAGGTTGTAGAACAATCTATTCTGTAAATATGTATTTTCCTTAGACGGGGTTCTAGTTTTTGGATACTATAATAACTGCAGAGGGTCCATTTTTCTGAGCTTTTCACCCAGGACTTTGGTTGGGCTCCGTCTTTATGGGGGCAGTGCAATATTTTCTCCTCCCATGAGTCTGAGTACTGAGTGCTTAGGGAACATTCGTATTCCTCTCAATATCTCCTTTGTTGTTGTTTTTCCTTTCCCCTTCTTCCTGACTTTCCCTTCTCTTCTTTGTCCCCTCCTCCCTTAGGTAAGTCAAATCTCATGGATGCCATCAGCTTTGTATTGGGCGAAAAAACCAGCAACCTGCGAGTAAAGACTCTAAGGGATCTGATCCATGGAGCTCCTGTGGGCAAGCCAGCTGCCAACCGGGCCTTTGTCAGCATGGTCTACTCTGAGGAGGGTGCTGAGGACCGCACCTTTGCCCGTGTTATTGTTGGTGAGTGAGCCTGGCCAGAAGGCTCTCCTTGGCTAGGGAGGAAGGGAGACCTGACCCTTGGCCAACTCATGCATTGTCTTGTAGGGGGTTCCTCTGAGTACAAGATCAACAACAAAGTGGTCCAGCTACATGAATACAGTGAGGAATTAGAGAAGTTGGGCATTCTCATCAAAGCTCGTAACTTCCTCGTCTTCCAGGTGGGCATTTTAAACAATTACTGGCTCTTTGCTTTTTGCCAACCCTTGGCCCTGCTCCATCTCTGGCTTCCTCTCTGCCCTGAACTAATGTAGCAGCTTCTTCACTGGGCTTCCTAAGTACAGTTTGGCCCTTGTAGTCTCCAGATCAGCATCAACTGGGGAAATGTTAGAAATGCACATTCTCAGGCTCTATCCTACACCTACAGACTCAGAGACTATGGGGTGGAGCCCAGCAATGTGTGTTTTACCAAGCTCTCCAGGTTATGATTATACACACTGAAGTTTGTGAACCATTGCCTTAGCCTGAAATCCAAACTCCTATCATTCAGGAAACACCATCCTTTGGTTTCTGCCTACCTCACTAGCCTCATCAGCCAATACTCTTACCCTCCAACCTTGCACTCCAGCCTAATTAAACCATTTACAGTTCCCCAGATTCACCTGCTTGCTTTTGCCTGCAGGTCGTTTCACATTAATTCTTCTCTACATGGAATAACCTCGTCTCTCACTTTCTTGGCTAGTCCTTCCCCATCTTCCAAACTCAGCTTAGATGTCACCTTTGGGAAGCCTTTCCATGTAGACACTCCTACCCGTCTCCTAACCCCAAGCTTCCTTTAGTCCTTTTCTGTGCTACTTCTGTCACTGCATGGTGTTGGCTTTGCTTCTGTCTCTTCTGTTTTCCATGCACCTCAAAAGGCTAGGAATGTGTCCTAAAAGCCCAGTGTGAAATGCGGCACCCAGTGTGGGAGGATCAGTGACCTTCTGAATGATTGAGTGGGAGCAGATTGGAGGAACTGGGCTGGCTAGGGTCTAAGTCGAGAGAGTGTTTTCACCTTTACTAGGGTGCTGTGGAATCTATTGCCATGAAGAACCCCAAAGAGAGGACAGCTCTATTTGAAGAGATCAGTCGCTCTGGAGAGCTGGCCCAGGAGTATGATAAGCGAAAGAAGGAGATGGTGAAAGCCGAAGAGGACACACAGTTTAATTACCATCGTAAGAAAAACATCGCAGCTGAGCGTAAGGAGGCCAAACAAGAGAAAGAAGAGGTAGGTGGCCAGGCTACCTCTGGGCTCTGAGAGAGGATGGGGACCCAGTGCCTTACTGATGCATTTCCTGCCTCCATGTCCCTATTTGCACAGGCTGACCGCTATCAGCGTCTGAAGGATGAGGTGGTGCGAGCTCAGGTACAGCTGCAGCTCTTTAAGCTTTATCATAATGAAGTGGAAATTGAGAAACTCAATAAGGAACTGGCTTCTAAGAACAAGGAGATTGAGAAGGACAAGAAGCGTATGGACAAGGTAGAGGATGAGCTGAAGGAGAAGAAGAAGGAGCTGGGCAAGATGATGCGGGAGCAGCAGCAGATTGAGAAGGAGATCAAGTAAGAGGCAGGCCTGGGCGTGCAATTTGTGGGAAACCAAGAGGCTGTCCTGTTTCCTAGGGCTTCTCTGAGCCTGGAGTCCAGTGCCCATACTAGGTTTTTTATTTTCCCCTTGACTTGCTTTGGCCAGGACTGTGCGCATTTCTTGACTTGCATTTTATGTATGTATGTATTTATTTATTTTTAAAACATATCTTTATTGATTTCAGAGAGAGGAAAGGAGGGGGAGAGAGAGAGATAGAAACATCAATGATGAGAGAGTTATTGATCACCTGCCTCTTGCACGCCCCCTACTGGGGATCAAGTCTGCAACCTGGGCATGTGCCCTAACTGGGAATTAAACCGCGATCTCCTGGATCATAGGTCGATGCTCAACTGCTGAGCCACACTGGCTGGGCTTGGCTTGCATTTTAGGCATATAGAGTATTTAAGTACTTAGGCTCCAGGTAGATAGGTACTCAGAAGAAGAACATGAAAGGGTGGTGATTTGCCAAGTGAGAGGAAGCAACAAGAGTCCCAGGCACTGGAATGGTTGGGAATGCCTTCCTAGGAGAGGAAAATGGGCTAGGAGTTTAAGCGACAGGAATTTTAAAAGGTTAGGTCAGATGGGGGACGGCTAAGTGAACACAGGATATTCTTACAGTTGTTACTGAGGGTTCTGACCTGGATGGTTGAGGCCAGGGTGGCAGCTTTACCTTATGGAGTGCCTGGAATGCCAGGTTGAAGGTTCCAAGGAGTAGTCAGACTGCCCCTTTTTTGAGGATCTGTGGGGCATCAGGTCCTTATTCTTTTAGGCAATTCCCTGAGGCTGGCTGGGGGGGGGGTTGGGCCCCCCTTTCTTTGGGTAGAATGCCTAGGAACCCTCCCTTCTGTATCAGTGCTGACTTTTCCCCCTCCCCTCTGGCAAAAGGGAAAAGGATTCAGAATTGAACCAGAAGCGGCCTCAGTACATCAAAGCCAAGGAGAATACCTCCCACAAAATCAAGAAACTGGAAGCAGCGAAGAAGTCCCTACAGAATGCTCAGAAGCATTACAAGAAACGTAAAGGCGACATGGATGAGCTAGAAAAGGAGATGCTCTCAGTGGAGAAAGCCCGGCAGGAGTTTGAGGAACGGATGGAAGAGGAGAGTCAGAGTCAGGGCAGAGACTTGACCCTGGAGGAGAATCAGGTAAGCTCTGGAGGGTTGGCGACGAGGAGGCTGGGGAGATTGCTGGACTGACTGGTCATCTATGCCCTCCTTCCCTTTCTCTAACACAGGTGAAGAAATACCACCGGTTGAAAGAAGAAGCCAGCAAGAGAGCAGCTACCCTGGCCCAGGAGCTGGAGAAGTTCAATCGTGACCAGAAAGCTGACCAGGACCGGCTGGATCTGGAAGAGCGGAAGAAAGTAGAGACAGAGGTGGGCATTTGTTACAGGATTGGGGGTGATAATCCAGAGAAAAGGAAGTAATGATAGTCTTAACTGTAATGACAATAGCTAACATCAAGCAAGCACTTACTGTGTGGTAGGCACTATACTTTACATGTATTCACTCATTTGATTTCTCTTTTTCCAAATGAGGAAACTATATCACAGAGGTGAAGCAATTTGCCTAAGGTCACCTCATTATTAAGTGGCAGAACCAGAATATGAACCTGGGCACTCTAGCTCTAAAGCCCACACTCTTTATCAATTATACCTCATTTACTGCCTTTCTAGTAACAATAAGAGTAAGATAATAATAATAGGAAATTGTTGTACTACCCCGAGAGCTTACAGCCTTCCAGGTATTCTGCTAAGCACTTCTTTTGGCACTAACCATTGGTATTAATAGCTACCCTATATTAAGCACTCAATATGTATTTCTGAAGTGGAGGTTACCTGCATTTCACAGATGAGAAAACAGGTACAGAAAGGCCCAGAAAGCTTTACTTGGCTTTGGTTTGAGCCACCCTGAGTGGTGAGGAAAATAGCCCAGGCTGGGCAGAACACTATGAGAGGGTCTCATTGGGTCCTGGGAGGCCCCATCAGTTAGCAGAGCCACACCAAGCACTGTCTGTGTGTCTGCTTTTTAGTAAGCCTCCTGCAATAGTGACAGATTGTCCTGGGCTGTTGGACTCTTGGATAAACAGGCACATCGGGGCTGTGAGCCTGGGCCCCATTGTTTTAGAGTTAACTTGCTCAGCCCCTGGTGATGTCTCTTTCAGGCCAAGATCAAGCAAAAGCTGCGGGAGATTGAAGAGAATCAGAAGCGGATTGAGAAACTGGAGGAGTACATCACGACTAGCAAGTATGTGGTTCTGCAGCCTTCCTTCTTAATTTCCAGGCCTGTTCTTGTGAACCCTACCTATCCCCACCCTCCCCAGGCAGGACCCCCAGAGGGGCCCTCTCAGCCCAGACTATTTCCTGACCAGCCATGGTAACCTCTGTGTCCCCTTACTCTGTAGGCAGTCTCTAGAGGAGCAGAAGAAGCTAGAGGGGGAGCTGACAGAGGAGGTGGAGATGGCTAAGCGGCGTATTGATGAGATCAATAAGGAGCTGAATCAGGTGATGGAGCAGCTGGGGGATGCCCGCATTGACCGCCAGGAAAGCAGTCGCCAACAGCGAAAGGCAGAGATTATGGAAAGCATCAAACGCCTGTATCCTGGCTCTGTGGTAAGTGGAGAGAGAACTCATTTCTTGAGCACTTACTTTCACACTCAGTTGGGTCATTTTCTCAGCAGCCCTGTGAGGACAGGATTGCTAATTCCATTTTTCCAGATGGGGCATCTGAGACTCAGGTTAAATTGACCTGCCCAAAAGAGCACAGTTTATGAGTGTAAGAACTGCAATTCATACCCAAATTGTTCTGACTCAACCTCATGTTCTTTTTATCACGCCAGTTGCATCTTCCTTAAGGTTTTGTCTTGCTGTGTCCACTGTTTTGTGGGAGGCAGGGAAACTAGAGAGGCCCTTGGAAGGGGGTGGGGCCATGGGGCAGAAATTAGTCCCCCAGGAAGTAGCTGTGTGCAAGCTTTAATATGAGCTCCCTTGCTATGTACCAACTGGCTCGTTCGTCAGGCTTTATCAGATCTCTTGGCCTCTTGAACCAAATCCTGAGTTCCTAAGTTTGCTGAGTATTATCCCTCTATTACTATAATCTCATCCCTGGGTTCAACTTAATTGGGTTCCATAAATATTTCCTGATCTCCTCTAGACACTGCTGGGGAGTTTGTATGGGTGAATTAGGCTCAGTCCCTGCCCTTCAAGATCTTTCCCTTTATCTGATAATTCTTAGGGAACCATGATTGGTTTGGGGAGAATGGGGAAAATGAACTGGGAAAAGAGAGTTATTTTGCTGGGTACTTGTGAGAATTTGAGATAATGTATATAGGGTATCTGGAAGAGTGTCTGGGATGGCAGTGGTCTGTGAAATGATGAAAGTGAGGTTTAGAAAGATGATTTTGGATTTAGACATGACTGTCTGAAGTTGTTGTTTGGGGCCAGAGTAGGCTTTTTCTTCATAGCCTGGGGGCTCTTTTCCTTATACACATTCTGATCTGTGCAAGCTGGGAGTTGGGGTTTCTGAGCCAGCTCCCAAAAGCCTCATGCTTCTATTTTCTGACTTCCTCAGTATGGCCGCCTCATTGACCTCTGCCAGCCCACACAAAAGAAGTATCAGATCGCTGTGACCAAGGTTTTGGGCAAGAATATGGATGCCATTATCGTGGACTCGGAGAAGACAGGCCGAGACTGTATTCAGTATATCAAGGAGCAGCGTGGGGAGCCTGAGACATTCTTGCCTCTTGATTACCTGGAGGTGAGGCTGGTGGGGATGGGGTCAAGACAGTGTGTGAAGGGCCCTCTTAGCCCTCCATGTTTGACCACTACTGAACTTCTTCCTACAGGTGAAACCAACAGATGAAAAACTCCGGGAGCTGAAGGGGGCCAAGCTGGTGATTGATGTCATTCGCTATGAGCCACCTCACATCAAAAAGGCCCTGCAGTATGCTTGTGGCAATGCCCTTGTCTGTGACAATGTGGAGGATGCCCGCCGCATTGCTTTTGGAGGCCACCAGCGCCACAAGGTCTAGATTCCCTTGCCCAGATTGGAGCTGGACAGGCTTAGTTTTGGAGAGTCCTCTATTCAGCTTCTCTCTTCTCCCTTCTGTGTGTAGACAGTGGCACTGGATGGGACCCTGTTCCAGAAGTCAGGAGTGATCTCTGGTGGGGCCAGTGACCTGAAGGCCAAAGCACGGCGCTGGGATGAGAAAGCGGTAGACAAGTTGAAAGAGAAGAAGGAGCGGTTGACAGAGGAGCTAAAAGTAAGCCACAGGCAGCTCTGTCCCTAGGAGTGAGGGTCCTAAGCTCAGACCGGCTGCCACCTTACCACCTCACCCTTCTTGTCCACTTCAGGAGCAGATGAAGGCAAAGCGGAAAGAAGCAGAGCTACGTCAGGTGCAGTCTCAGGCCCACGGACTGCAGATGCGGCTCAAGTACTCACAGAGTGACCTAGAACAGACCAAGACACGACATCTAGCCCTGAATCTACAGGTGTGGGGTCTGGTCTCAGCCCTGTTTTCTAAAGGCCATCTTCCCATTCCTAGCCCAGGTGTCTTAGGGTAGGGAACTTGTAGCACTTCTCTCTGTCCTCCCAGGCTGCTCCAGGGAACCAAACATAGCATAGTCAGACAGCCAGGGGTTCAGATTTTGGCTCTGTATAACATTATGCAAGTTATTTAACCTCTTGGTATTAGTTTTTTTTATCATTAACTGTAAAATGAGAGTTAGAATACTATCTGCTTCATAGGGTAGATTGAATGAATTAATACTTGTAAAGTGCTTAGACTGATTCTTTGTAACCAGTAAGTGCTCAGTAAATGTTAGATGCTATTATTAGCATAATTCATTCATGTAATAAGTACTTGAGCTTCTAAAAGTGAACTGAAAATGAGCTATAGGCATTTCAGTCCCTGTAGGTGGGGGTACTCTTCTAGTCTTCTAGATATGTTAATGTGTTTAATCATGAGGTGCTTCCCCAGACCACCCTGGAGGTGTTATTGGAGGTGTTATGTTTTTGTGTGTGTGTGTGTAGTTTTGCCTTTTTCTAAAATCAAAAAGTCTGAATTCTAACACATATCTGAAGCCATGTGGTAGTTGGAGAGACGACGGAGCTTTGGTGCTAAGTCACGTTCTCTCAGTGTGTAGAGAGCTAGCCCTTTGTGTCCATGGGGCCAGGGTGGTTGGGGTGGCTCTTTTACTCTAAGGAGCCTGGTCTGTCTGTACCCTCTCAACCCCGTTTCCTGCAGGAAAAGTCCAAGCTGGAGAGTGAGCTAGCCAACTTTGGGCCTCGCATCAATGATATCAAGAGGATCATCCAGAGCCGAGAGAGGGAAATGAAAGACTTGAAGGAAAAGATGAACCAGGTTGGTGGGGGATGAGCCATGCCAGCACGTGCATTGGCGTAGGCCTGGGGCTGGAAGCAGCGCTCTGACTCAAAGGGCCTTTGCCCTCCTTTGCTTCTGTCAGGTAGAGGATGAGGTATTTGAAGAGTTTTGTCGGGAGATTGGTGTGCGTAACATTCGGGAGTTTGAGGAAGAGAAGGTGAAGAGGCAGAATGAAATCGCCAAGAAGCGGTAAGTGGAGATATAGAGAATGCATTGCCTTTGAGACCCCAGCCTGATATCCTGGAAAGCCACATGCCGTCATAAGGCTGGGAGCAGCTCTTAGAAAGATGGGTGTTTATTGTAGGTCAGCCTTAGAGAATAGGGACATTAGAGAGGTGGCGTTGCGTAGTCTAGTGGTTAAGAGTGTCAGCTTTATTATTTATTTATTTTTAATTTTTTAAAAACTATATCTTTATTGACTTCAGAGAGAGGGAGAGAGAGAGATAGAAACATCAATGATGAGAGAGTCATTGATAAGCTGCCTTCTGCACGCCGGCGACTGGGGATCGAGCCCGCAACCTGGGCATGTGCCCTGACCGGGAATCGAACCCCGATCGCCTGGATCCCAGGTCGACACTCAACCGCTGAGCCACGCCCGGCCGGGTAAGAGTGTCAGCTTTAAACGTGATTTACCTGAGTTAAAAATCCCAGCTCCACAATTCCTTATGTTAGGCAGTGACTTGATCTCTCTGAGCCCCAGTTTCGTTATCTATAAAATGGGATAATAATGACATCTGTCTCATGGCATTGTTGGGCAGATCAGGTGAAATAATCCTTATAATGTATTTAGCATAATATTTAGCACCTACTAAGAGCAATAAATATTAGCTTTTATTATTATTAACCTGATGGACAGTGCAGGGGAGTAGGAATGAAATTCTAGGTTGGAAGAAACAACAGTTTCTCCTCTCTTCCCCACATCAGATTATTCATTTGTTCAACAGACCTTTCTTGAGTACCTATGTTGTGCCAAGTTGTCCTGTGTTAGGTACTGGACGGGGTTGGGAGATGGAGATAGGACAGATGAACACTACATAGTCTCTCTGAAGGGGTTCATCTGCTGGACCTTAGGCCACAGTCAGCAGTTCATCTAGCTCATAACCCATACAGTAAATATCCATTGCTCTTCTACCCCCAAGCCAAGCTCAAGGGATATAGAATTGAATCAGAGACTGTGCCTGCCCTCAGGGAGTTGAGTTATGGAGTAGTAGGGGAGACAAACAAGTAGATCAGTAATTTCAGAATAGTATGATCGATACTGTACCATAGGTAGATAGAAAATACAGAGGAAATGGTCAAGGAACTGCAAATCAAGAGAAAATCCAAACAAGACCCAATAGAAAGCTGGACGGAGGATGTAGTTAGCATTTCATGGAAAAGAGAAGCTTGAATGGCTAATTGCAAATTAATGTTCAGTCTCATTCCTAATCAGACAAATGCAAATTAAAACAACTAGTGGTATTTGGTGAAAATAAATGTATGTAAGCCCTATGACTTAGCAAAGCCACTCCTGGGTATATATCCCAGAGAGTTTCTTGCTACAGGGTCACAAAGGAACACATTCAGGGTTGTTCATCTTGTCATAATTTGGTAGTAGGATGTTGTTGGCAATGTACCCAGCCATCACTGGGGGAAGTATACGTTAAATGTAATGAGTATATAGACTATTGAATACTGTATAGCAGTTTAGAGCAAAAACTAGATTTACGGGCAGTACCATGGATAAATTTATAAAACCGTGCATTTGTGTAAATTTAAAAACAATGACATTTTATAAGGCTACGTTTGTGTGTGTGTGTGTGTGTGTAGGTATGTCACTTTGGAGTACGTGCTCACTGTAAGGAAGATAATGGGAGTGAAAATCAGGGATTGAGCCAAAGGAGACAAAGGTCTTGCGCAGACAGCAGTCATAAGTTTGTTAGGAACTGTGGTATGTTATTAACTCAAATGGGCCAAAAGGGGAGGAATTCAACATAGTGTAATAGAAACTAAGAACCTGCTCACAGCCTTCAGGAAAGGTTTTACAGAACAAGAAATGATGAAATGGAGACCTGTAGAGTGAGTAGGATTTAGCCAGCCAGGCCAGCAGAATCCCAGGCAGTGAGAACAGCATGCTCAGAGGTGTGCGAGACCATGCCTTGTTCTGGAAACTAAATAGTTTTGAATGTCTGGAGCATAGAAACGGGGTCAGGTGGAAGGCGGGGATGGTGGAGAGGTCAGCGGGAGCCAGATCACAGAGGGCTTTATGAGTCATGCTTAGGAGATTGGACTTAAAATTGCACAGCTCAAAATTATAGAGTTAATTACATTCCATTTGGATTATAGTGACTAATAGGTTAAAACTGCTAGCATGACATCTGGCAGCATCTGTGACACCATATTGTGGGTGTGGGGCAGTTGGAAGTTACCCCTGCCTGGCCTGCTAATATCTGTATACTGGTTATATACTCTGAATTTCTGAAGATATGGGGAGGAGGGCAGTAGCAGGAATCTAGTATTTTCTCCATGGTTTTTACTACCCAAGCTCTGCCCCATAGAAGTTCTGGAATTTTGGGGTAGGGGTGCACACATGGGGGTAGTAGTTGGAAAGAGTCAATATGAGTTGAATACCTGGCAATAATGATGGTAACTAAAATTTACTGAGTACTTACTAGGTGCCAGGCATGGTTCTAAGGACATTATACATATTAACTCATTAAAAAAACTCCCAGTAACTCTGAGGTAAGTACTGTTACTATTTCCATTTTACTGATGAGGAAACAGGCATGAAGAGGATAACTAACTTGCCCAAGAATGCACTGCTAGTAAATGGCAGAGTTGGGATGCTAGCCTTCTTATCCCACCTCTCTGTACTGCAATGATGCCATAGAAGGAGCCTGGGTTTGGTGCTAGACCTGATTTCAGTCGCACATTTGCCATTTACTAGCTCTGTGGCCTTGGGCAAGGTCTGTTACCTCTTGGCCCAAGTTTCCTTATTTGTAAAATTAGGATAATAATGCCTACGTACTTGTGGCACTGTTGATTAGAGGATTAGAGGTAATGTATGTAAAGTACACAGAGGCTTAATAAATAGTAATTATCATAGCTGGTGGGTTGAGGTGGACCTTTTTGTGCTTCCATCTAGGAGGTTAGGGCTGGGGGTTCTGGAGTCCCCCAGTGTTTAAAGGGAGACTAATGGATTTTGGGCAGTTTGCCCTACTTGTGCCATTTCTACAAAGCTAGGCTGAGGAACTTAGTTCTCCAACTTCAGGGAACAGTTTTATGTGGGTGTAGATGGATAAGCTGAGTGGTGACTGAAATTTAGCAGTAACCCTGGATCCCTATCCCTGGGCTTAGATCTCCTTTCTCCCCACAGTTTGGAGTTTGAGAATCAGAAGACTCGCTTGGGCATCCAATTGGATTTTGAAAAGAACCAACTGAAGGAGGACCAGGATAAAGTGCACATGTGGGAGCAAACGGTGAAAAAGGATGAAAATGAGATAGAAAAGCTCAAGAAGGTAAGGAAGGAGAGCATGAAAAGACATGAAAAATTGGGAGATGATAGAAGGATAGTATCCATAACTTATAAAGCTCTAATAGAAATAAGAAAAACATGGACACCTAAATAGGAAATGAAAAGGGGCAGAAACAGTTCAAGAGATTCAAATATCCCATAAACATACCCATAATTTAGTTACTAGAAATCAGACATATGCAAATTAAAGCAACAATCAGATGTAATTTGTTTCCTGTCACATTACCCAAGGTTTTTTTAAAAAGGATAATGCTTAATACCACAGCGAACAAGACCAGCATTCTTAAGCCATGTGACGCCATCCATTGAATCTTGAGAATGTGTTGATCCCCTCTAACTCAAGTGGTACCCAAGGAACTCCAAATGCTGGCACAGCTTTGTGCACACAGGTTGATGTTTATTACAAGCATTTATAGTTTCATATGAAACTATCCAGTGCCCCCTGGGAATTGGGAATTTAGCACATTTATACTACATTCATACAAGTATTTTAATGGTGTTTAAATTTTAGTAATATATGGACCCCCTTTAAAGGATTTTTCCCAAGATCTCTACTATTGGCTTTTAAAAATCCTTAATGTTGCTTAAACATATATACAAACATACACAGGGTGGGGCAAAAGTAGGTTTACAGTTGCTTGGAGGGAAAATACAATAATAGAAGAATAAACTCAGTTTCTCGTAGTCACAACTGTAAACCTACTTTTGCTCACCGTGTATTCTTGGAACATTTAACCAGAAAGCCAAGACAGAGTTACAAATTGACCTTTATAATAATTAACCACGTTAATTCAGTGCACCAGGTAATGGTGTTTTGCTGAGACCTAGTCCCTTTTCACAGCACGCCTGTGCTAACTGCCACGGCTGAGTTCATGAGTCCAGGGTGCCTGTGCCACTGGGTATGGCCTGATGACTCACTTTTCCCACACCCCTTCTCTTTAAATTAAATTCCTCTGAAATCTCTGCTCCCCATGGCATCACCTCCTGAGGTGCTTTGATCCTCGCTTAGTTTGAACATATCGTGACTACTTTGTCTGCCTATGTTGTTGGTTTGTGGGTTTTTTTTTGTTTTTGTTTTTTTAAATATATCTTTATTGACTTCAGAGAGAGGAAAG